TTACCATCCCGTAAACTATCCGTCAACGGACTTTTACAGGCTTCGCCTGTATACTATACTGGGGCTTCGCCCCAGTATACTATCTTATAACAATAGAAATTAAGTATAGATACGACAATCAGTGGGGTTGAGGCAGCAGGATCGTGGTGGCTCAGTGGGGAAGGCGTGGGGCAGAATGTGGACGTGGTACTGGTTCGAATCCAGCTCAGGGCACGGCAAATTTGCTTTTCTTTTTTTTACTTTCAAAACTGAATTTAACTTTTTACCTTTTCTACTTAGCCTTCTCCCCTAGTTATGTTAGTCCCCTAGTTAGCTATTGTTTTTTAGGACTTAGCTATTGTTTTTAGGGTTTAGGGGTTAGGGTGGCGGTTTTTTTTTTTTTTAGAGCGTCCCTACTCAATTTAGGAGCCCCTTAGTTGGTTTAGGGTTTAGTTTTTTTTATTTCAGAGAGTCCCAAGGCTTTAAAAGTCCCTAGAGCAGTCCTGACAAAAACTAAGTTCCATTTTGCACCGCTGCGTAGGCTGTCCGTTACTCCGCCTGTCATGTCTAGGCTGTCCAAGGCTTACTCCACCCACAGTCCAACAAAGTCAGGACTTAGTCAGGCGGGGCCTGCCTAGTCAGGACTCAGGAGTAGTGTAAACAAGAGCTCTGACCTGCTTTGTCCCGGGCCGGATTTCAAGGGCAAGACGGTAGGCCAACCGGCAACAGGTCAGGTGTAAGCCGTAGTATTAGAGCATAATCCGCCAAACCCTACCGAGTGCTCTCTAATGGCTAGTCGAGCTACAGGTACAAGGCCTAGAACTTCTTCCTTTGCTCCTTTTATAAACGTCTGCAATAAAGAACTAAGTGAGTTCTTGTTTTTATTTGAGACTTACTGATATTTTGCGCAGGTATCAATGACTTCTATGATATTTATGAGACAATTGAACAACTTTCAGCTTCCTGGAAGCAGATTGCCATTTCCTTGCGTCTCAAAATAAACACAATTAACAAGATAGAAGCTGATTGTCGTGCACATACTATCACTTGTCTGCAGAAAGTTTTGGAGCATTGGCTAAAGAAGGATTATTACTACGAGCGTTATGGTGTTCCTTGTTGGAGGAGAGTGTGTGTAGCTGTTAAAGAAGGAGGTGATCCAGCATTAGCTGATGAAATAGCTCGTGAACATCCTCTACCAGCTACTACTGGAGGAGCCACTTCTCATCCTCTACCAGCTACTACTGGAGGAGCTACTCCTCATCCTCTACCAGCTACTACTGGAGGAGCTACTTCTCATCCTCTACCAGCTACTACTGGAGAAGCTACTCCTCATCCTCTACGAACTACTACCGAAGGAGCTACTCCTCATCCTCTACCAGCTACTACTGGAGGAGCTACTCTTCATCCTCTACCAGCTACTACTGGAGGAGGCTATTTTGTGGGTGGTCCTACTGATGGTATTCTGCATAATAAAGAAAAGTCACTTTCAGGAGGTAGATAACTTTACCACCAAATTTGGAATCATTGTTTTTATATTTAGGAGGTAACTCAAGTCATAATGAAAGTTTGCCAATTGCTAGAATAGATATCTCCCCTGTTGATGTTGTAATGTCACCTGCAGGAACTGAAAAATCAAATGATTCAACAAGTCAGTAAATTCCGTAAATCAGAAAATTTATGCGGTAGAAATTTTGTGTTTTAAAATTGTTCTGTGACTTTATATTTTTACTAAATAAGACTAGGTCATGTATTATTGAATGTGGCATGTAATTATACATATGATCTAATATTCTATGCATGATCCAATTTTTGTGAAGCTCTAATACAGTAAAATTAAAATCACAGTAAAAATTTTATAGACAGTATCACAGTAATGCTTTAACATAATAATTACAATCATGAGATCAAGTGATAATAGTACACATCATTACTGTATAAACTGACATTCCATGACATCAATAACAACCCTACAGGTCACCTTTTATGCCAAAGTTTACTTATTATAATACATTTTTTTATTTTGCAGTTTATGCTCACCATCCTGAAAAGAATCATCCCTTAACAAATAAGATATACGAACTGAAGGATGAGTTTGCTGATGCACTACAACTGACAATGGAATCCTTTGAGAATAAACCAGACTTTCTTCATAAAATCATCGAATATCTTAAAAGACGTGTCCATACTTTGCTGGGTCCTTCCAAAAGTGATTCGGCTACAGAGCAAGCAGTTAGAGAAGAATTTAGTGACATTAAGACAATGACAGATCTTTTCTCAACCTTAGAATACAAGTATGTATCATGGTTTAACTATGAACTGGTACCAAGACTAGTTCGTGTGTTTCTGAGTGACTATCGTACATTAAAAAGAACCTGGTCAGAATATGAAGAGAAGTTAAAGGACTATTTTATAAACAGTGGTGGACTATTGAAAGATGCTGATGCTATAGACTTTGGTATAACAGACGTTCCTCCTGGTACACGAGTAATGATTGCTAGAGTTGATAGTGATGACTACACACCAACTGACCTTTTCTTCTATCGTAGAGCAATACCAAAAGGATGTGATATTCCTCATTTTAATCTTTATTTTCTTCGAGTTCGTCCTGGTTCCCTGATACTACAGTATCTCATTCCTGATTATCTTTATTCTTTATTATTTTCTCTAACTACAAAACTACAACAACAGTTAGCTTGTATTGGTATCTCTGAACTAACATGTGGTGAAGATGGACAATACAATTTAAGAAAGGTTTGTGATTATTATGTAAATACAAATTTGATATTATTAATAATTTTACAGTTCTCAATAGAAGAGGTTAAGCACTCATCCATTGATATTGGTAAGAACATGAACTGACCTTTAGTCAATCCCTCCATACATAACTTGTATTACTAATAATATTCTTCATTTGTAGATATATGTGATCCATTATGGTATGAGAATACCTGTACACCATTACATGAAGCAGCTTGGAGAGGATTAAAAGATGAAGTACAATGGCTTCTTAACGAGTTTGGTTACAGCACATATCATCGAGGTCTTCATGGTTGGACTCCATTACACTCTGCATCATATGGTGGACACATTGAGATCCTTCAACTATTCATCCATCAATATGGTATTGATCCTAATGAAGGTGATGATAATAGTGTATCTAGTATACATATGGCATCTTATAAAGGCCACTTATCTATAGTACAATATCTAGTAGACACGTGTCACGTTCCTCCTGATCAACCAGACAATAGCAATAACACTGCATTACTGTACTCAGCAATGGGGGGCCATTCTGACCTAGTGGAATTCTTTATTGAGAGAAATTGTAATACTTCTCATATTAATTGTGAAGATTCCTCTTTATCACTGTTAGCTTGTAAAAGTGGAGAGTTAGCATTAGTTCACAAGCTTGAATTATTAAACCTCTTCTCACCAGATTCCTCTGATTTTTATGGCTCTGGCATATTGCATTACTCTTCTATGAGTAATAGCATTGAGCTTTTAAATTATCTTTTTAACCGATATCAATTATCCGTTGATGTAAAGAATAGCAGTGGTGTGACACCACTTCATATTGCTTCTTGGTTTGCTTCATCATCAGTTGTTGAGTATATTGTTAGTATTCAAGGTAATGAAGCATTATTAGTTTCTGATATTGATGGTAAGTCATGTTTACACTATGCATGTGATGCAGCTACACATGTTCCAGCTGGTATTGTGTATAGTAAGCTTATGGCACAAAGTGATGCACCAGTTATTGGCATTACTAATTGTACTCAAATAAAACAAAATATTGATTTTACCAAACGAAATGAAAGAGTTAAAATGTTGTCTTCTCTTCTCAAGAAAGCTAGCACTTGCCCTAACTTTGACATCAACGCCACTACAAATGATGGTCTGTCATTACTTCATTATGCATCACACAGTGGCAGTACATTACTAGTGAAAGCATTAGAAGAATATAATATTAATGGTACATTAACTAATGATGGTAAGTCTCCAGTACATTATGCTGCCTGGTCAGGTTCTACTAGTGTATTAAGTTATATCATATCTCAGTATAATCTCAATGCTAATGATACTAATGTTGATGGTCGTACACCATTAGTCTACTCTTCCCAGTCAAGTAGTATTAATTCTGTAAAATATCTTATTAATAATCATAACAGTGATCCTAATATCACTAATAAGTATGGTATGACATGTCTTCATCGTTCTTGTCGTAATGGTCATATTGATATCACTCAATATCTCATTGAGGTACAGCAATGTGATATTAATAAAACAGATAATTACAGCCGCACGTTAGTACATCATGCTGCATGGAGTGGTAACTTTGATTTAGTTCAGTATCTTATTATTGAACAAGGTTTGTCTCCTACTGCAGCTGATGAGAATGGCCTCACTGCTTTACATTATGCCTCATGGTCTCTTAATTCATCTCTTGTTAAAGAATTAATAACTACCTATCAGTTAGATCCTTATCAAGCTGACAGTAATGGTAAGCTACCAATTCATTATGCTGCTGAATCTGGAGATATTTTACTACTGGATTTATATGTGAAGGATTATAAGTGTAGTCTGAGCCTAACACATAACAATGGTTGGAATATTATTCATTTTTCATCTTCAAGAGGTCACACTCACTTTATCAAACATCTGGTAGAGATTCATCAGTTAGATCTGTGTTCTGTGCGAAATGATGGGGGAATGGCTTCCATTCACTTAGCATGTGTAGAAGGAAGATTGAACTTGGTCCAGTACATTATAGAACACATACCATTATCACTTGAACTACCTCACATTGAAGTTGGTCATACTCCATTCCTTACTGCAGTGTACTTCAATCAGTTAGAAGTTATTAAATATCTTATTAGTAAGAAGTGTGATATATCAGCTACTGATGGTGGAGGGTCTGGAGCAGTCCACATATCTATAGGGATGGGTCACTTGAATGTATTGAAGTATCTCATTGATAATAATTATTGTAATCCTAATGCAACTGATCATCAAGACCGTACATCACTACATGTTGCTGTAGCAGCTAATAAATATGAATTATTAGAATATTTATTAGAAATAAAACCAAGTTTACTCATTGATGTACAAAGTAAAGATGGCGATACTCCATTGCACTTAGCTTGTAGAAGAAAACGACAGAAGATGGTACCACTTCTAACCAGCTCTACTAATACCAATCTATTAATTACTAACAAAAAAGGACAGACACCATTACACTTAGCAGTTGCCTCTGGACATAAGGATACCACTGAAGCTTTACTGTTCTCAGTCACTGGTAGTTCTACTCATCATGATCTCCTTACAGCTGTTGATGATGAAGGATCCACTGTATTACATACAGCTTGCAGTAATGGCCATATTGATGTGTTTCTTTACTTGTGTAGTATTTATCCTGATGGCATTAATGCTTTGGATAATAGAAAGCGCACTATACTTCATGCAGCATGTGAGGGTGGGAATATAGAATTAGTACAACTTGTAGTTGACAACTGTGCACTAAACCCTGAAGCAAGTGATAAGGATGGCATTACTTGCATGCACATATTGGCAGAAAGAGGCGATACTGCAATATTTCAGTATGTAAAGACTCATGTAGCTACTAACTACATCCCTTATGATGATAATGGTCACACTCCACTTCATTATGCAAGTCTCTTCAAACGTAATGAAATGGCACTGTATCTCATTAATAGTTGTCATTATAATCCTGATGATCCTGATTATAATGGATACACTTCAGTTCATGCAGCATGTGAAGCTGGTAACTTTGAATTAATTCTACAATTTCTCACAGAGTTTTGCTGTAATGCACTAGCTGAAACTCGTGACAAGAAAACTCTACTTTATTT